TCATGGGCAATAGAAAAGAGTAGCAGATGTTTTATTAGTTTCCAATATTCTTTTACCAAAAGTAGATTTTGAGTTCCACATCTTGAAACATAGCCAGCACAAACACTTCAATACCCATTGGTGAATTGTGTCTCAGGGTCTTCCAAACCAGGGGTGGAGCCTCCCCATTACTGAATATGTTGTACCTCCCCTGAATATATTGTTTTTCCAGGGAGATTGAATACAGTTTTGGTTTTGAGAGGAGAATAAACAAAATGTGAACCACAGAGAAACTGCAAAAAGGAACACGGACATTGTTTTAACCTAGTTTTTATTGTGTTGTCACTTTGGAAATTCCTGAAAATGTCTCTAATCATCAAGTTGGTCAATGAAATGAGAAGTGGCTGCTCTAATCCACAAGAGAAGGAGGGAAAACAGTCTGTGAACAATGTCTGTAGGTACAAACTAAAGGAAGAGCTTGCAATCTCTAAGTGATCAATGGAATATTTTTGTTCTCTTCCTAGAGGCAAGGTACACAACATGATTAGAGAATCTGGTTAGAATTTTATGGACAAGAATGTCTTATATCTCATGGCTTTCCCTACATACTTACAAATCAAGAAGATGGAGACAGTTACAGCAGTAAGAAGCCCAAAATAACATTTCAGTGTCCTGACTGCAAAGGAAGAAAGGTAGATAGCAAATAATTCTATATTTTAAATGCTGACTAGAAACAGGTGGAGGCAGAAGGTACATATAGTGGCAAATTTGTCAATAGAGAATGAATGTTATACAGTCTTGATCTTAAGTGAAATAGTCTAAAGAACAGAATTAACAGATTAAGAAAAATAAAATTAAAATGTTACAAAACAAATAAATTGATAAAACATAGAATGGAGGTTTCAACAAACAAAATTGCTCAAGACAGCAGTAGCTTTTACAGCAAATACTTTTTGCGTACTCAGTCCATTGGGGAGTACAGAACAAGAAGATTTGGGGTTTTGTTGTATTACTGAAGCTGAGTTGAAAATTACACCATTTTCTACTTCATGTATATTAAAGCCAATTGTAATAGTGTATGTGGGAAAGATTGTGTAAAAAAAGGGAAAGACATGGTGTATCTGATTCTGGATTATGGACAACATGGAAGTGGGTGATTCCAATTTATTAGGATAAGAATTCTGAGATAGGAGGTGCCAATTTAAAGTTGTCAGGCAATATTTCAACTGAAAAAAGAAATTACTGATGTCTGGACATAATTTTTTCTAATGATCTTTGGTACTGAGCAGGAAATATCCTGTGTACTAGATACTGTTAGCTATATTTTTTGCAAAGCTGTTATAAGTTTTTCTGTATTTTTGAGCTGATGAGGGAGAGTACCACAGTTATCAGGAAAGTTAATCACTACTTGGTATAATCCAAAATAGTTGATCTGTTCCATAGCTTGTTCCTTTGTTGTATTTTACTTAGAAAGATTCAGTCTTGATTGTACTACCAAAATTGTTCTGGAAGTGACAGCCAGTATCTGCTTCCTTTTTTTCAAATGCATGCATGAATATACCTCAGTATATGTTCTGCGAGCCTTAACATTTAGTAAATCATGAGGCCTTCTCTATATGTACAGTAATTGTTTGCCTGCTGTAAGAAGAGCTGTGGAGCACCACTATCATTGAAGACGCCACTGTCAGCTCGTGTCCTCTACAGAGCAATGAATCACATTTAAAAGCAATGAATGTTCAGCTCCTATGTGAATTTACATAATATGTGTAGAAAAAAGTCGTGTCATGCCTATGAGTTTTCAGTCCAAGAAACATCTGAGATTCTATTCAGTTGTCAATAAAACATTGTTAGAGCTTGCTTAAAGAATATGTGATCAAGGTTTGTTTCTTTTGTTTGTATCCTTCTTTTAATTAATAAATGTACCAACAATGTTGAAGGAATTCTGTATGAAAGGTGCCTGTGAAAACCATTGTGAAAATTGTGAGGAAATATTCTATAATAAAAGAAAATAAAACCTAATATCATAAGATAAAAAAAGTCAAAGCAGGAGCCAGTTATATTCTATATTATGATAGAAACCAGAAATATATAAGGCTGAATTTAGTTTTAGTAAAGGTAGAGAAATCCCTTCATCGGGAGAAAAATCTTTCTGGGTCCACAAACTCATTTTAAGCCATGAATTACCTGCTATGATTCTCAAAGATAATAGAGTTTATTATGTATTCTCACAGCCAGATCAGTAATTGAAAAAAGGTGACATCCTGAGACACATGCCCTTTCTTGATGAATAGGTCAACATGCCTTTAAAACCAAGATTTAGAGCTGCTTGGAGTCTTCTGAGCTACAAAAAGCAGAAGATCATTACAAATGAATTGATCCTTTTGATTTTTCACTTTTAATTTTCTATCTCAACACTGGAACACAATATTTACAAAAGGTGTCACCTTTCAGAGTTAAGTGTAATTATCAAGTTCGCTTTACTTCAGCCTGTGAAAGACTTCTCAAGGTAAAAATTTGTGTCTTGAAATCAGCTAACTTTTTGGTTATATTCAGTTGATGAAATAGCTTATTTATTATTTGTGTTAACTATTGATTAACATAAGGGACTTTAAAAAATATAATCCTCTTTATCATTCTGTTGAAAAATGCGTTTTGCTTGTTTAGGTGAGCTGCTACTTCAGAGAACCTTTCTGCTCACTTAAGCCGTCTTCTTTAACAGGTGGTGTTAACCAGTAGGGATAAATGTGGAAATAAAATGAGTAGTGCTGAGGAACGGACATCTGTATTGCATACTTTTCAGGGGGTTTTGTTTTGGCCTGGATCTTGTCTGGTCCTGTGGAATGAATGTTCATTTGTGGCTGGAATCCATTAGATAGCTTCATTGAATTTCCTCACCCCAGAATAATTCATGAGACAAATAATTGTGGAAAATCACTGATTCTTGTAGAAATTTGTGAAAGAGATGTAATCCTTCAGTTATTTATTTCCTGTCCTCCCTCTGTTTTGTTATCTTTGATTTGAGAATACATATACAAGAAGATGATATAAAAAATAAGGTCTGAAAGTAAATGATATAAATTACAAATATAAGACATTACTGTTTAAAAAATATTTCAGTTGATTATTAACTGATGTATTCAAATTTATGTTCATTAATTTTTCCATAGGTTTGGATACAGAACTTTCTTTTAGCAAGTGACCAAGCTGAAGACTCATAGTTGAATTTAGATGGTAGTTAATAAATCTGAAGCAACAGTTAATGCAAAATGGTCTCAAATGGAAATCTCAATCACAGACCTAAATTACGTCTCTGCTAGCTGTGAGAGATTGTATTTCATAGAAATCATCGATTTGTTGTAGTTTTTTTCGTTTTCCTGTGTTGTTTTTTTTTTTTTTTTTTAATCAACCATCTAATAACAGTGGGTAAAGTCACTTATAAATAAGTGTTCAGAAAAAGTATTTGAAAGAAGGGTTATAAAATTTATTTTATCCAGAATTGTACAGTTATCTTAGTTGACTAAATACACACTTCTGATGCTCAGTTGAGATAATAAATAAACAGAGAAGTAAATGTTCCTCACTGGTGAATAAATAAATAAATAAATAAATAAATAAATAAATAAATAAATAAATAAATAAATAGTGAATAGGGAGTTTCTGATGGTAGAAACAAAGTATATTTCTAATTTCATCTTTTTGTAGCCATCTATTGTTTTTATTAATGACATGAATATAAATGTGAACTGTTTCTGAAGTAGAATCTTTACTTCTAAAATTCATTATTGCTAGAGTTGAACACAACATGAGAAGTGATAAAACTACTACACCTAGTTAGTCATTGCTCATCATTTGAGCCAGTAAAGATCATATATATGTTCTCAAGCTGTCCTACTTGCAGGTGAAATATAGCAACTTATAACACTGTAAAATTATGGAGCCAATTCAGACTGTCATATTTTACTTTGCTGTTGGGATATGCTAAGAGAGCAAAAGCATTCAATTAATTCACTGGCTAATAAGCAGTAACTTGATATTTTCATTTTTTTGTTGTTGTTGTTTTTGTTTTGTTTTGTTTTGTTTTGTTTTTTTTTCCCTTGGACAAAATAGTTAACAATATACAAATGGCTAAATATTTTCTCTTTGTTTCTCAGTTCTCCAGTTGTGATTTTGTGTCTTTTATCAATGTGTTTATGTACTAAATTTTCAAATTAATCCAGAAATGTGACCACCTTTTATGTAAGCGTGTGGTACAGTATTTCTAGCTGCACCACATTTCTAGCTGCAGATCATCTGTGAATATTCCCTCCTAACAAAATCACAATACTACTGTAGATGGTATTTAGAAGAATGACTTAGCTTAAGTAATGGCAGTCATACCTGTTTCTTGTTGTGGTTTTGGTTTATCTAAATCAGATCCCTAAACAAGCCATGCATATTTTATAAGTGTTTTGAAATTATTTTATTTTGGAAATGTTTCTTAACAAAAACTTTTCATAACACAATTACTTCTTTTTTTTTTTTTTTTTTGTTTTTTTAGTAAATAACATGTTAAGATACTAGCAGTTTTACTGAACGTTGAAGGATTGTGTAAAGTCACATGCTATTAGTAAAGTTTATAAAAATTAAGCATTTAAGAACAATGCAGAATACCCTGGAGTATGAAATGTGTTTCACTAATAAGTTGTTTTTCATATAAGATGCTATCTTGTTAACAATTGGGACATCTGCATGATTGGAAAATTATCAGAAAGACTCAGCACTAATTTCTATGTATGTTTTAAAGTCATATGCTAATGTGGCACTTGGTTCATATCACAGGAAGCAAAAACAAATTAGAATTAAATGTCATGCTGTATTTTGCTGCCTACATTCATTAATAATATATTGCTCCCGGTAATTTATAATTAATATGAAATTATGGTTTGTAAAAAGTTTTTGTTTTTTTTTTTTTTTTTTAATATATATGAAATTTCTAATACATATATCAATGTAAGTGACACCAGTTTCTAACTTTTTTGCAGACTTGTCCTCAGTTCTGTCTCTGACTACTTTGCTGCCATGTTTACAAGTGATGTTTGTGAAGCCAAGCAAGAAGAGATCAAAATGGAAGGCATAGACCCCAATGCACTGTGGGATCTTGTTCAGTTTGCATATACAGGTATTGTGTGGCATACATTACACTTCCTATAGAAGAAGATGCTGTTAGTTTTGTTGCTACATGCCAGTGAATTATACTTATTTTCTAAATAGTTTTTTTTTCATTTTAACCTCAATCAGTCTAAACACTTATTTACCATTTCTAAGGCTGAATTCAGATTGTTATTTCTTATCTCCAAACTGTTAAATATATCAGGCTCGTTAAGTACAAGAGGACAGTCTAGAAAATGATGTATTTTTCATGGTTTTCAAATACTTAAAAAAAGTGCGTCATATGCACAATTCAGATTACATGCGTTCATTGAAGGAACAGCTATATTTTTTGAAGAATAGCCTGTCTTAGTGTTTTTGACTGTCTTAGTCAAATTTGAGTTTAAATAATTACATAAATATTTTAAAATTGTAAATAATAAAGCATTTTTAAACTGTTTTATTATCAGCTGGATGTTGTCACTTTCATTTCCTGTTAGAGTCTGGTACTCTGTTGTGTAATGTAAACTTATGAATAACTCATAGTTAATAACTCAGAACTTCCTTCTGAATAGTTAATACATTTTAATGCATAATACATTTGGTTTTTATCCTTCTTCAACAAGCTGCTATGCGCAATGTATCTGAAGTTCATTAATATGAAAGAGTACTAAAGTTACAGAAGAAAGTAATTAAAAGAGAGGAAATGCCAATAATAATATTTGTAGTCTGAATTTGTCTCCTTGCCTATGAATCATGCAAGTATAAAACATACGCTGTTTTCTATTTGTTTCTTAAAAGACATGCTCACATTATTTAAATTAACAATATTTTATCATGATGTTCCTATTGAATATTTGATTTTAGCTTCAATTTTAAATAGATAAGCCATACCCTGCAGTTTTAATCCTCTCTAAATACACATATATTAATTTAATCATAAGTCGCTGTTTGCTTTGCTATATTGAATCAGGATATGTGCTGTTTATTTTATGACATAATAACTTTACTGTCTTAGTAGGAAACAGAAACTGCAAATAAAAATAATTGAAGTTAAAAAATGCTCTTTTGGAGAATCATATTTGAGAAATTCAGGTTATAAGAATGTCAGACCATCTTCATTTGTATAGTACTCTACATGTTCAGAGGGTAGTAGTTTTGCTGGTCAGGAATGTGTATCATCCAGAGGATTTCAAGCTAGGGATCCATGAAATGACAAGCATAGAATCACAGAATTATAGCATGGTTAGGGTTGGAAGGGACGTTCAAGATCATCTAGTTACGACCCCCCTGCCATAGGCAGGGACACCTTTCACTAGTTCAGGTTGCTCAAAGCCCCATCCAACCAGGCCTTGAACACTTCCAGGGAGGGGGCAGCCACAGCTTTTTTGGACAACCTGTTCCAGTGCCTCACCACCCTCACAGTAAAGAATATCTTCCTAACATCTAATCTGAATCTACCCACTTTCAGTTTAAAACTGTTACCCCTCATCCTGTCACTACACACCCTCGTAAAGAGTCCCTCCCCATCTTTCCTCTAGGCTCTTTTTAAGTACTACAAGGCCGCTATGAAGTCTCCCTGGAGCCTTCTCTGGGCTGAACAACTCCAACTCTTTCAGCTTGTCCTATTAGGGCAGGTGCTCCAGTCCCCTGATGATCTTTGTGGCCTCCTCTGGACTTGCTCAAGAAGGTCCATGTCCTTATGTTGGGGTCCCCAGAGCTGAATACAGTACTCCAGGTGGGGTCTCATGAGAGCAGAGTAGAGGAGAAGCATCACCTCCCTCAACCTGCTAGTCATGTAAGTAGTTTTCATCAAGCATGAGAAGGATACAATCTGATTACTAGGTATGAGTGTAAAATTAATGGCACAGGAACACTGGGGCAAAATCAATAATGCCTTGGGTCGGAATAGCAATAGACCTGACTAGTGATGTTAAATCATTCTGTAAGAGGAAGGTAAAAGAAGAGGAGATAAGGGGAAGATGAGGGACAGTGTTGTTTCCCTGGGAACAAAACTGGAAATACGTAAGTACTGTGCTGTTATTTTGCTTCAGTTTTCACTAAAAGACCACGTGCAAACACACAGCACTGTTAATATTGACAATGAAAGATATCATGTAACTGTGCATTAAGAAAAGAAAGAGATACAGAAGGAAACAAAAATATACTTAACCATTTGCAATAGGAATGAAGCAATCTAAGAACTTTATTGGTTATCTGTGAGAATTTTGGAGACTGAATAAAGTAATGAAAAACTAGAAAAAGCAAACTCCTTCCGCTTTCTGCAAAAGATTAGATTTTTCAGATGCTCCTTGATTTGTCTATGCCATATGATGTACTCTCTTATATGAGGTGGAAAACTTGGAGGTTTCTTCTTGGCATTAGGTAAATAAGGAACAGCATTCAAAAATGGATGAAAAGATAACTCCACAGGTAGTGTAATAATTCCAGTGTTTTCTAATTTGCCTTACGTGAATTTGCATCTATAATGTTCTTTCATTTAAACTGTCACATAAAGCCCAAACAACCTTAAAAATGGCAATATTATGTGCTATTGTAATGTCACCTTGAAGAATTGGAAACTTAAAGTGGTAACAAAGGTCTATAATTTCTGTCACTTGCAGTTGTAATACACCATTATCCTTTTATTCCTAACCAATTTGGGAGATCAAGTAAGACTTAAAAAATGTCTTCTTAATTTTACACGAGAAAAGGAAATTTCACAGTTACTTGCTGACAAGAAAAGAGTGATGATATTCAGGAAACATAAGTTCATTTTGCATGCCAAAAAAGAACATGTATTTGATGCCATGGACCATTCTGGTTTTGATTACTCTGTCTTGCATTTCTGTTCCATCAGGTTCTCTGTCCTGACTTACTCTGATTTATCCTGATTTAGTTTCAGCTTGTGTCCTTATCTCTTGAAACTCATGTTAAATTATTTCTTTCTTTATTCATTTTCTCTGCATCATATGTCTTATTAAAATTATAAATTTCCTAGCTACACTTATGCTAGTAAATTAAACACTGCTAGGAAATATTTGAAGGCATTGGAAATCAATTATCTATATTGATCCTGGCAGTTTTAGCCAAATGTAGTTAGCAGTCTCTCTAATAAACCTTGGGTGTAGCCTAGCTATGCAGACTCATCATGAATGTGGCCATTCCTGTACAAAGGGCAAGAGCATTCAAAAGTGCTATGTACATTTCAATGATAACTCACAGGTGATCAGGGAATTCCTAAGAATATGGTCCCAAACTTACTGAGTTTACTGAAATTAAAGACAGTCTTTGCCCCTTGGTTAACCATTCTTTTTTCCCATGTTCTTTGCCAGATCAAAACCTGTCCCCCCAAACCTTTTTTTTTTCCCTTCCCTTTCATTTCCACCATCTGTCATGATTTATTTAGCTTCATAGTTTCTTATCTCTTTTCTTGCCTTCTGATTCCTTATTTACTACCAGTCTGGTTCATGACCCCTTTTCCTTGGAGTCAGTTCACTTTCTTCTTTGTGCTGCTTGGATGTGGGCAAGGGAGACACTGCAAAGTAAAGGAAATAGCCACTATTCTGATATCCAGCAGTGTAGCAGCCAACAGAAATTCCCATACATAGTCTAGACAGAATATCTGGAGAATTCAGCTGCCAAATTCCATTTACTGACTGTACAATATGTGAAAAAGTTTTCAGCAACTCACATCTGTGACCAGTTTAGCTCCTTATTCTTTTATCCTGGGAACAGCAAACTATTTTGTCAAATGGGGAGTTATCATTCTTCTGTTTTCTTTTTTTCTGTCACTGCCTTCTTAGCTCAATGAGAAAAAATTAATTTCACATATAGTTGCTACTGGTAGAGAGGTTTTCCCTGGAGACAACTGAACATTTCAGTAAAATACAGCTAAACATGGGCTTGTTTGGAAAAGCTTAGAAGTTACGAATATTACACTGCAGATATTTTTAGGTGTGATTTTAAAAAGGGAAACATTTCCATATTAATTGTAATTCAGTCAGGGTTTTTTTTTTTTTTTTTTTTTTTTTTTTATAATCTAGTGAAATTATTTCAGTTGGTCTATGAATCATACATATTAAATAGTAGTTCAAGAAGGGTAAAGTATGCATATCTATGTAAAGTATTAATATAGATAAAAGTATCTTGTGCTGATACCAGACCCTTCAGTTCCAGCAATAAAATCAAATACTGTTTCAAAATATCAGAATTAAAGTTCAGTAAAGGGGTGGTTTTGTACATCACAGAACTGAAGAAAGATAGGTATATTTGTCTGAGAGGAGAGTTGTTAACATCTGCTATATCCATGAGTACAAAAAAAGGGAATAATATTAGTTTGATAACTAGTTACACACTGCATTGTGTATCTTCAGTTTTTTCTTTTACTTCCTGTTAATTAAAATAGTTCTTACCTGTGTGTCCAGAAATATCCATATGCTTCTGAAAGGACATGATTTTCTGGACAGAATTTCTGAAGTTGCTGTTCCATGCCATTTCCTCTAAATCATTGAAATAGGTGAAAACTCCAGCTTGTTCAAAACAACAAAATGATAATATCTAGTTTTAAAAATCATTAATAAATGTTCATTATTTTGTCCCTTCTAAACACAATATGTAACTGTGGCTGGACAAGCATCTGTATTAGGCCAAATCATAAATGTGTTTACTCAGAGACTTGCCAGTAACATCAGGTAATAGATATCTGGTAGCATGATATGAATAGTCATAATTTGGCTGGTATGTCCTCTTAGCTTCCAGCTTTATAAAGCATAATTTAATCTACTTTGGTAGTCGGTGATCAAATGTGACTTTGTCTAATCCCTTTGAAAGCATGTATAATTTCAGCCTCTACAGCATACTGTGGTAGTGAGTTAAACTCTGTAAAATACATTTGCTTTGGTATTTTCAATTCTGCTGTGTGTTTTTTTTTTTTTTTTTTTTTTTTTTTCCTCATAGTTTCTACTTATGTGAGTGTCTGTTTTAGACCCAGAGGGTAACTGAGCACCATGGAGCTGCTATGTCCCTCCC